TTGGGGGGGGGGTGTGCTGTGGGCACACCCCCAGCCAGCAGGATGAGGCTCAGCCCTCTGCCCTTCCCCACAGCCAAGGTGGAGCAGGTGAAGTTTGATGCCACCACACTGCACGCCAAGCCTGAGATGGCCGCCCAGCAGAAGATGGTGGATGACGGATCTGGGGAGGTGGAGGTAGGGTGTCTGGGGCAGAATGTGGAGCCCTCTTGGGGCACCCCCTGGTCTGTACTGGGGGATGCCATGGGGTCCAGGGGCTGCAGTGCAGGGGGGTGCACCAGCCCTGGCAGCAGCACGGCCCCATCCCACTAGGTCTGGCGCGTGGAGAACCAGGAGCTGGTGCCCGTGGAGAAGAAGTGGCTGGGCCATTTCTATGGTGGGGACTGCTACCTGGTGCTCTACACCTATTCTGTGGGGCCCAAGGTGAACCGCATCATCTACCTCTGGCAGGTGAGACCCCCCAGATCACTGACACACAGGTGGGGGACAGGGGCACCTCCCTGGACCAGGGGTGCTCTGGCCCTACACAACCCTATGGGAATGGCATGAGGGTTCCCTCTTCCCAAGAGGGAAAAAAAGGGGTCTGTGATGGGTGCTGAGCCCCCCTCTGCCCTGCCCAGGGTCGCCAAGCCACCACAGATGAGCTGGCCGCCTCTGCCTACCAAGCTGTCATCCTGGACCAGAAGTATAACAATGAGCCTGTGCAGGTTCGGGTCACCATGGGCAAGGAGCCGGCCCACCTGATGGCCATCTTCAAGGGCAAGATGGTGGTGTACGCTGTGAGTGCAGGGCAGCTGGGGGGAAGGGAGCGGGCAGGTGGGTGAGCCTGTGTCACTGGTGGTGACCTCCTGTCCCTGTCCCCCCAGGGTGGTACCTCGCGGGCGGGCAGCAACAAGCCGGCACCCTCCACCCGCCTCTTCCACGTGCATGGCTCCAATGAGTACAACACCAAAGCCTACGAAGTGCCTGCCTGCGCCTCTTCCCTCAACTCCAATGATGTCTTTGTGCTTCAGCCCCCCAGCTGCTGCTACCTCTGGTATGGGAAGGTGGGTACCGCCAGGCACCAGGGTGGGTGCTGCCACCCCCAAGAGAAATGTCCCCACCTCCTCTTCCTCCTCCTTGGCTGAGGCCGGTGCTGAAGCAGCCGTGCTTGCTTGGCAGGGCTGCAGCGGGGACGAGCGTGAGATGGGCAAGATGGTGGCCGACATCATCTCCAAGATGGAGAAGCCAGTGATCGCGGAGGGACAGGAACCAGCTGAGTTCTGGGTGGCCCTGGGGGGCAAGTCCCAGTATGCCAACAGCAAGAGGTACCAGCCCTGTGCCCAGGGGTCCCTTGTCCCTCCCACCCTCGGGGGTAAGATGGGCCTCCAAGTGGGGTCAGCCCCATTCCCACCACCACTGCCATGTTTTCCCCCGCCAGGCTGCAGGAGGAGAACCCCTCTGTGTCCCCCCGGCTCTTCGAGTGCTCCAACAAGAAAGGCACCTTCTTGGCCACAGAGATCGTAGACTTCACCCAGGATGACCTGAATGAGGATGATGTTTACCTGCTGGACACCTGGGACCAGGTGAACTGGGGGGCTTGGGGTAGGGAGACACACCTTTGATCCCACAGGCTGATGTCCTGGGTGGGATGGAAGAGCTGCAGCAGCCAGAGGTGGTGGGATGGGAGGCTGGAAACTCCCATGTCCCTGGCCCCATGCTGTTTTTTTCCAGCCCCCTTGCTCCAGGGATGGCTGAGGATGGACTCCCAGTGCTTTTCCCTGTGGACAGAGCCTGTGTGCCCCCAACCATGGGTCAGGCACAGCCCCAGAGGGCACCGTCTCACCCCAGTGGTGGACATGGTGACCTTGTTTCAGGTTTTCTTCTGGATTGGAAAAGAAGCCAACGAATCGGAGAAGGAGGCAGCGGCAGTGATGGCGCAGGAGTACTTGCGGAGCCACCCCAGCGGGCGTGACCTCGACACCCCCATCATTGTGGTGAAGCAGGGCCACGAGCCCCCCACCTTCACTGGCTGGTTCCTGGCCTGGGACCCTCTCAACTGGGCCGTGAGTCACAGAGGGGGCTGGAAAGATCGGAGGGGGCCCTTTGCAGATGGGACCAGATGTGGGTCTGGCCCCAGCCAGTGTCACCGGGGTGTGGGCAGCGCTTTGCCTGCTCCCTGCCCGTGCCAAGGGGCTGAGTGCTTCTGTCCCCTTCCCAGGACAAGAAATCCTACGAGGAGCAGAGGGCCGAGCTGGGGGATGACAGCAGCCTGGGGCAGCTCACCTCAGTAAGTGGCGCAGGGAAGGGGGTGGCCTGGGGGGGGAGGCGGCACGGAAAGCCCCTCCATCCCCTTGGCGGGTGGCACCAAGAGATGCAAGGACACCTCCTCCCGTGAGGGGACACCTGGAGCCAGCCCCTGAGGTGGCCCTGTCCCCCTGCCATCCAGGTGCTCACATCCAGGCAAGAGGTCTTCACTGCCACCACCACCCTCCTCCCCAGCAAACTGGAGATCTTCCCCCTGGACGTGCTGGTGAACACCTCGGCTGAGGACCTGCCGCGAGGCGTGGATCCCAGCAGGAAGGAGGTGAGGCGAGGCCAGGGGGCTGCCGGGGCGGGGAGCAGGGGAAGCCCCCCAGCTTTTGCTCAGCCTCCTCTCTCTTCCCCCAGAACCACCTCTCCGACCAGGACTTCCAGGCTGTTTTCGGTATGGACCGCTCCGCCTTCGGCAAGCTGCCCTTGTGGAAACAACAGAAGCTCAAGAAGGACAAAGGACTCTTCTAGGGCAGGAGCCTGGGCACAGGGACAACCCCAGCTCGTTAATTTTTATTTAATAAAGTCCATTTGGAGAGCCAGGCTGTGTCTTCCCCCCTGACCCCTGGGCTCAGCCCAGGTGTGGGGCTTATTTGGCAGAGACATCACGCAGGGGGACCCGGGTCTTGACCGGGCACCGAAGCAGCGCAGGGGAGGACCCTCAGCTCCTTTCCCCCGGGTCCTTCCTTTGTGATCCACAAGCTGCCCACCCCCCCCGGGCACCCCTAGGCACCCCCATCCCACCCCGGCGGCCACAGCTCAGGGCTAAAGGTCTGGTATACAGCTGGAGCCGCTCCCTCCGTTATCGCCTGAACCTCGGTAAATATCTGCGGTACCAAAGGTAAAAGCACCAAGCCCCGGGCTGAGGGGATGGCGCATCTGCAGGGACAGACACCGGGGATCACTTGTTCTTGCCCTGGGAAGGGAGGAGGGCATCTCCCTCCTGCTTGGGATCCACGGGGACTCTGAGAGGGACTGGGATTTGCACATGCGGGGAGGCGCATAACAGACGCACGATGCTCCCGAGCAACGGAGCAAAGTCCCAATGCCAAACGAGGGGGGCAGAGGTGCGGTGCTCATCCTTTGCAGCATCCAAGAGGCAGCAGCCCTGGCAGCATGGAAATAAGATCCCAAACCAAGAGAGGGTTAATAAAGAGGTTTTAATTTCACAAAAATCTATCTACACATCATTTAAAAAGGGTCGGGGGGAACCCAAGAGCAAAAACTGTAAAGAATAGAGAGGAACAGGTCTGCTAAAACACAGAGAAAAGTGCTGCTCCACATCAACAGTGTAAGAACTGGAAGGTTGGGGTGCAGGCAGAGACCAGCAGCCGCCCCCCCGCAGCAGGCAAGGCTGGAGTCTGGCAGCAAAGCCACACGGACAGCAGCTGCCAGGGGTCCCGCACCCCTTTTTCACTCTTTGGTGGGCGATTACAGGGATAATTAGCTCCATTAAAAAGAAAACAAAGCACAGAAGTTATTCCCAGTCGTCCCCCCCC